ATAAATTTAAATATATTTTTCATTTATTTAAATATTGTTTATTTTTAGTATTTATAAAATAGATTAATTTTTAATTTTTAATCTTTTTTATTAATTATGTTAAAAATGAAAAATATTAATTAGTATACTTAAACTAAAAAATATGTTATCTAAAGATAAATATATTTTTATAAATAGTTTAATTAAATAATATATTTATTATCTAATGTCTATTGATATACTTTTTTTTTGGTATATATGACAACAACCATGATTAAGTAATTAATAAAAATAAAGCAATAAATTTAAAAATTAGATTAAAAATAAAGTATTATAAAATAAAATTGTAATAATTTGATTAAAATTATAATTTTTTAATTAATTAAGTTAATGAGGAATTAAAATGTGATAATTTGATGTGTTTAATTTTTTTAATATAAATTTTTAAAATATAATTTAATTTCAATTGAAAAATAAATTAAAGAATATTTGTTATTAAATTTTTCTTAAACAATGTATTGAATAGTTAATATCACTCTAGTCTTAATTTATTACAATTTAAATTTTTAATAAATTTCATTTATTTTTAATAATATTTTTATTTTAGTAATTTAAAATTAAAGTTAATCTTCATTTTATTAATATTGAGACCAAAGTTTATTTTTAAAGTATATTTTAAAAATTAAATTATTTTTAAAAAATAAATTACTTTTAAAAAATATATTGTAAAAAATATACTAAAATAATCAAAGTATATTTATAAAAAAATAAATTTAAATATAATAAAAAAATAATATTCATTAGCGACTCGATTTCAATTCGGTCGCTATTTTCTCGTTAGCGACCGATTTTAATTCAATTACTATTTCAATTTGTAATTCGGTCGCTAAATCAGTCATTAAATGATTTTTTTATTTTATTATGGAATAGCCACCGATTTAGCGAACGAAATTTTGCGACGCAAACTATTGGTCGCTATTTCGGTCGCTAAATAAAAAAGTGAAACCAAATCATATTTTGGTGACTAACTCGATCGCTAAATTGCGATCGAATTAACTCGGTCGCTAAATCGGTCGCTAATTGTGACTTGAATTAAAGTGATAGCTAAATTAGTTGCTAATTGCGATCGAATTAAATCGGTCGCTAATTGCGACCAAAATTAAATCGGTCGCTAAATCGATTCGTTAATTTCAGTGGCTAAATGTGATTTTTCTTGTAGTGATTGAATTCAAGAAAACTATTTTATAAAATCTAATGTTCTTTTCCAATTTATCTCTTTATTTTTTTTCTCGTTCTCACGCTTTCTCGATTGTTAATAATAAAAAAAAACCTTATGTAAGAAACAAAACTCTTGTTTCATTTATATAATCAACTTCTATCATCAAATTGATTATCATTAGTGTCGGAAGATAACTCTTATATTATCCACTCAATTGGAAAACTCTTTTTACTACCTACTAAGTTGATTAACGTTAATTTTAAAATTTCTTGTAACACTACAAGAAAAAACCATTTTAGTGACCGAAAAAATCGATCGCAAAATAGCGACTCGATTTATATTTGTCGCTAAATAAATAACAAAGTTAATTATTTTTATTTAAATTTATTATTTATTTTCCCTAACTTTTAATTATATTATATTTTTTAGAAGTTTAACTTATTACTAAATTTATTGTCATTGTCGGGATTTGAACCCGGTACCTTAGAGTTGGAGAGTTGAAACTCCAACCATCTGAGCTACTTAGGATCTTTTAATAATAACTTACAAATAAATTATAATTATATACAAATAAATGTATATCCGTATAAATATAAAATCTATAAATAAAAATATATTTATATATTTTAATATATATTTAAATATTAATATATTTATACATTGATATATTTATATCTTTATATTTTTACATATATTTATATATTTATATTTTTATATCTTTATATTTTTACATATATTTATATCTTTCCATATTTATATATTTATATATAAAGATATTAGTTTTGTATACAAATAATATTATAATATAGTATATTATACTATTATTATAGTATACAAATTATATATTAGTATAGTATATTATACAAATTATTAATTTTGTAATTTATATACAATGAAAATAATATAATGGTATATTAGTATAGTATAGTATATTTGTATTCTAATTTTTAATTAAATTTAAATTATACTAATAATGTATAATAATATATGAGGGGATAATATTGATATATTGATATATTTATATATATATATATATATTTATATATATATATATTTATATATTTATATATATATATTTATATATATATATATATATATTTATATATATATATATATTTATATATTTATATATTTATATTTTGATATATTTATATATTTATTTATATACTTGTACATTTATATCTTTATATATTTATATATTTGAAAAAAAAATATTAAATTTTAAAAATAATATTATATTTTTAAAAATAAATATTAGAAAAAGATTTAAAAATATATATAAATTATATTTACATGTACAAAATATTAAAGATATATATTTATATCTTTACATATTTATATATTTATATCTTTATATTTTTTATCTTTATATCTTTACATATATTTATATCTTTGTATCTTTACATATATTTATATCTTTATATATATATATATATATATATTTATATATTTATATATTTATATATTTATAAAATCTATAAATAAAAATATATTTATATATTTTAATATATATTTAAATATTATATATTGATATTTTTATATATTTACATATTTATATATTTATATATTTATAAAATTATTAGTTTTTTAATTTATATAAAATGAAAATAATATAATGGTATATTAGTATAGTATAGTATATTTGTATTCTAATTTTTAATTAAATTAAAATTACGCTAGTAATGTATAATAATATATGAGGGGATAATAAATTTAATCGAATTACATTTATATATATATATATATATATATATATATATATATATATATATATATATATATATATCCTTTTTTAACTTTTTTTTTTCTTTTTAAACTCCTTACATTCTACATTGTTTTTAAACTCTATCATTTTTACTATATTATCATCCTCATTTCCTTCCATATTCTATTTTATCTTTATAATAATTAGTCTTATTTTATAGAATACTTTATTTTCTATTTTTATTATTTATTTTCTTATAATTTAAAATAATTAATATTATTTTAACATTTATTTTTATGATTTTTACTATAATAAATCAAATTAAATGATTCGATAATATCAATTAATTAAAATCATCACATAAAAAATTTAGATAACTACATTAAAATTATTAATTTTAAAAATACAAAATATATTAAAAAAAACTCAAATTATAGATTGGAAATAAAATAGAATAAACAAATACTCTTTACTTTATATTATATTTAAGTGTGTGCACAAATGTTGATATTCTTAACTATAAAAAACAGTAGAAAAATATAAAAATTGTATTTGAAGAAGTGAATTTTGAAGATAAAGACTATTTTTATATAAATTTATTCTAGTATATCAATTAACAATAATAATACATAAAATTTTAAAACTAAACTAAAAAAAGTAAGTTTAAATTTATAAAAAAAATGCATTACTAAAAGTATCATATTATATTAATTAAGGTTTTCTTTATTTTTGTTAATTATAAATTTAAATGTGTTTCATAAATAAAATTATAAATTTAAATGTATTTCCACTTTTGATCCATCATAAATAAAAATAAATAATCTCTTATAAATGTTGTTCTATTTTAATCCATCATTAAATTTGTTTTATATACGAATTTGATGACTTATCATATTATTAAAAATTTGGATGAAATAATTATGTATAATACTTTTTTAGTATATTATGTTTTTAAATTTGTTAATAGAGAAAACGTTTCAGAATTCAAAATATTAAATACTTTTAAATATTAAATTTGACTTTATAAAAAATTAGGAAAAAAATAATTAATCCAAAAATATAATAATAATAAAAATATTATAAAAAAGAGTTCAAAAATGTATTATAATATTTTCAGTTTTAGTTTAATTATATTTTTAATTCTCAAAGTAGAAAAATATATTGTAATTATTTTAATTTAATAAAATATAATTTATATTTTTAATACTAAAATTAAAATATTAAATAATAATAAATTTAATTCTTTAAATTTAGTATTTAGAAACAAAAATTTTAGTTTCTCTCTTTTAAAAAATTAAAATAAATATTTAAAAATAAAAATATAAACTAGTATTATCTTAAATTTATTAAAAGTATAATTAAATCTCTATTTTCTTAAGCAATTTTAGAAAATTTTTAATGAAAATCCAATATATAAAAAAGTTAAAATTTTAAAAAGGATGTAATTTTAATTTATGTAATATATATATATATATATATATCTAATTTATATAATATATATAATTTATTTAACATTAATTTTATAGTTATAATTCTTTTTAAAGTTATAATTATAAATATGATTTTTTTAATTATATTATTATAATTTTTATAATATATAATTGATAAATAATTTTTTTAATTTTAATTTAATATATATTTTTATTTATAATTTTTTAATATATATTTGAGAAATTAATCAATTATAACCTATTATTTAAAAAACTAATCAATTCTAATCAATTATTTAAAAAACTAATCGATTATAATTTATTATTTGAAAAAATTATCAAATATAATCGATTATTTGACAATAATCGATTATAATCAATTATTTGAAAATATAATCGATTATTTGAAAATTTGGACATTTATATATGATAGCGGTTCCACATGTAATAGCGGTTCCACGTTAACCGCTATCTAAAATATATTTTAGATAGCGGTTAACTTGAACCGCTATTATATATTTTCAAATATAATCGATTATTTGAAAATTTAATTGATCATAATGAAATATGTGGTGAGTTATGATAGCGGTTCCACTTGAACCGCTCTTAAAGTTAACATATAATAGCGGTTACACGTGGAACCGTTATTATATGTTATATTATAGAAATGAAAAAACTAGTATATATAAATATATATATATATATATATATATATATATATATATATAATATTATAATATTTTATTTAAAATTTAAAATTTTAAAAATATTTTTATATTTTTAAAATTAATAATATATTTAGATTTATGGTTGAACGTAGTAAAATAATATTTTTAAAATATATTATTAAATATTATATTTATATTATTTGTATGGTTAATTTTTAATTAATTAATTTATTTGATATTGTAATATATTTTTAAGAAATTAATAATAAATTAGGAGAATAATAAAATTCTTTAAAATTATATGTATATAAGATGAAATAATATTTTGATGTAAAATTATATTTTTGAAATGTATTTTTTTCTTATGTTTTGTAATATTTTGAATGATATAATATTAAAATTGACTTTATAAAAAATTAGGAAAAAAACAATTAATTCAAAAATATAATAATGATAAAAATATTATAAAAAATAGTTCAAAAATATATTATAATATTTTCAGCTTTAGTTTAATTATATTTTTAATTTTCAAAGTAGAAAAATATATTGTAATTATTTTAATTTAATAAAATATAATTTAAATTTTTAATACTAAAATTAAGAGATTAAATAAAATAAATTTAATTCTTTAAATTTAGTATTTAGAAACTAAAATTATAGTTTCTTTGTTTTAAAAAAGTAAAATAAATATTTAAAAATAAAAATAAAACTAGTATTATCTTAAATTTATTAAAAGTATAATTAAATCTCCATTTTCTTATCCCATTTTAATTTTTTTTAATAAAAATCCAATATATAAAAAAGTTGAAATTTTAAAAAGACACAGTCTTAACTTACATTAATTATATTTTTGAATATTATGTTTTTAAATTTGCTAATAGAGAAAACGTTTCAGAATTCAAAATGTTAAATACTTTTAAATATTAAAATTGACTTTATAAAAAATTAGGAAAAAAATAATTAATCCATAAATATAATAATGATAAAAATATTATAAAAAAGAGTTCAAAAATGTATTATAATATTTTCAGTTTTAGTTTAATTATATTTTTAATTCTCAAAGTAGAAAAATATATTGTAATTATTTTAATTTAATAAAATATAATTTAGATTTTTAATACTAAAATTAAAATATTAAATAATAATAAATTTAATTCTTTAAATTTAGTATTTAGAAACTAAAATTATAGTTTCATTCTTTTAAAAAATTAAAATAAATATTTAAAAATAAAAATAAAAACTAGTATTATCTTAAATTTATTAAAAGTATAATTAAATCTCTATTTTCTTATGCAATTTTAGAATTTTTTTAATGAAAATCCAATATATGAAAAAGTTTAAATTTAAAAAAGGCACAACCTTAATTTATATTAACTATTTTTAATATAAATTTAAATATATGTTGAATATAAATTTTAAAAAGGCACAACCTTAACTATGTTGAATATAAATTTAAATATATTTTTCATTTATTTAAATATGGTTTATTTTTAGTATTTATAAAATATATTAATTTTAAATTTTTAATCTTTTTTATTAATTATGTTAAAAATGAAAAATATTAATTAGTATACTTAAACTAAAAAATATTTTAACTAAAGATAAATATACTTCTATAAATAGTTTAATTAAATAATATATTTATTATCTAATGTATATTGATATAATTTTTTTTGGGTATATCAATTATATGACAACAACCATGATTAAGTAATTAATAATAATAAAGCAATAAATTTAAAAATTATATTAAAAATAAAGTATTATAAAATAAAATTGTAATAATTTGATTAAAATTGTAATTTTTTAATTAATTAAGTTAATGAGGAATTAAAATGTGATAATTTGATGTGTTTAATTTTTTTAATATAAATTTTTAAAATATAATTTAATTTCAATTGAAATTTTCAATTGAAAAATAAATTAAAGAATATTTGTTATTAAACTTTTCTTAAACAATGTATTGAATAGTTAATATCACTCTAGTCTTAATTTATTATAATTTAAATTTTTAATAAATTTGATTTATTTTTAAAAATATTTTAATTTTAGTAATTTAAAATTAAAGTTAATCTTTATTTTGTTAATATTGAGACCAAAGTTTATTTTTAAAGTATATTTTAAAAATTAAATTATTTTTAAAATATAAATTACTTTTAAAAAATAAATTGTAAAAAATATACTAAAACAATTAAAGTATATTTATAAAAAAATAAATTTAAATATAATAAAAAAATAATATTTATTAGCGATCGATTTTAATTCAGTCGCTATTTTCTCATTAGTGACCGATTTTAATTCGGTCACTATTTCAATTTGTGATTCGGTCGTTAAATCAGTCACTAAATGATTTTTTTATTTTAGTATGGAATAGCTACTGATTTAGTGATCGAAATTTTGCGACGCAAACTATTGGTCGCTATTCGATCGCTAAATAAAAAAGTGAAACCAAATCATATTTCGGTGGCTAAATCGATCGCTAATTGCGACCGAATTAAAGTGGTTGCTAAATTGGTTGCTAATTGCGACCGAATTAAATCGGTCGCTAATTGCGACCAAAATTAAATCGGTTGCTAATTGCGACCGAAAAAATTCGGTCACTAATTTCGGTGGCTAAATGTGTTTTTTTGTAGTGTAACATGAGTCACATATATAATTGAATTTATTTATTTATTAATTCTAACAATAAAGAATCAACGTACGTACAAAAATTCCAAAACAATTGTGATAAAAAAATCTCTTGAGTAAAAGTAACTCATCAAGCTAATATAGTTTCCAATTACTTATTCGTTGCCTTTTATAATATATTTTACTATAAATGACACGAGTGTAAGATTTCCAAATAGAAATTGGAAACTTTTGCTTGTGTAAAATGATCTTTACATTTTATATTCTTAATAAAAAGGTTAGTTATTGTAATTGACATATTGGATTAAAACTATAAAATATAGCTTAACAATTCATATGGTAGGTGGATAGGTTTGCAAATATGTTCTAAAAATGTCAAAGATTTGTCGAAATCTCTGTTGGTTGGTGATGGTCAAATTAATTATCAACTTTTTTTTAGTAACAAACCGTACATGAATGAAATTATTGGATTAAAGTAACTCTCTCAACTTTTCAATAGGTTCAATATAAACTTTTAGTTATTTTTACAACATATACTAGGATCACAACACAACTAGTTATGCCAAACAATTAACGTACTTTGATATGCAAACTGTTTTTTTTTTTTTTTTTTTTTTTCACCCTGTTTGATTATTATAATATATATGAGTATTAAACTTACCTAGGATGACTTTTCACAATACTAAATGAAAAACAAATATTCTTTTTTTTAGTTTTTGTGAGTCATTGCTAGACCAATAAGATAGATATTTTTATTATTGATTTCTGTTTCAAACTTGAATCTAATTAAACTCTAAAAGTTCATTCATCACCTTATGAATATTCTTCCTTTTTTATATATATATATATATATATATATATATATATATAATATTTTTCTTGTATCATTAAAGAATACAAGATCTTCAACAAAAATAAATGATAAAGATTATAGAAAAAAAGTTGTAAGTTAATATATATAAAATATTTTATTTACCTCTTCATTTATTTTTGTTTCTTTCGTAATTATTTTGATATAGGATACATTGTTTCTACACATAAGAAATGTAATTAAATAATCTTTATGTCCATATCTAATTTAAAAGTTTTCAAATTTATATCCATATCTACCAATTCACTGTACATTGATTAAACCAAATAAGTATTTCGAAAATTTTGAGCAATAAAAAATTACGGAGACGTATATTAGAAGTGGACAGAGCCAATAACTTTTCATGAAGTTCAAAAGTGTTTTTTTCAAATAAAAATAGGATAGATATCGCATCAGGAACAAAAATGTCAATTGCTATGCTGAAATAAATAAAAGAGATAAAAAGATGTGAAGTAAAGGATAAAATAAAAGGTCATATGATGATTAAATGACCCAAATAATGTTTCAATTATCCAATTCAGGCGAATTCTACCATGCAGTAGAAAGATTTGGTAAAAATCCAGAGTTAAAAAAATTATTTCCCACATTTCTGTCTTGTCTCAATTGCGCACTAATTTAATTACATCAGAAAGAAGTAACAGGAAAAACTAATCTTCATTCTTATTTGTGTTCCTCAGAAGACTCCAGAGTGCAGAAGTAGCACACACAATGTCCACAAACAACATAACTGTTACGCAGCAGCCTCATCAGCGTTCAAGATTCAGAGAATACAAACGATGGTTGCGTGTGTCCCTTTATAGCATCTTTCTTCTTGCAGGCCAATGTTCAGCCACAATTTTGGGGAGGTTATACTTTGAAATGGGTGGTAAAAGCAAATGGGTTGCAGCATTACTTCAATCAGCAGGATTCCCTATAATGATTCCTCTACTATTTTACTCTTCAAAACGTGCTATTTTAACAAACGAGTCAAACATTAATGATTCATCCGAAATCAAACCAAACCTTTTCATTGTATCTAGCTGTTACCTAGGTTTGGGCTTAATGAGTGCATTGATGGACTTGATGTATGCCTATGGACTCTCATATCTTCCTCTTTCGACTTTTGCCCTAGTTTGTTCATCCCAATTAGCCTTCAATGCAGTCTTCACTTTCTTCATCAACTCCCAAAAGTTCACTGCATTGATATTCAATTCTGTAGTCCTCCTCACCGTATCAGTTTCCCTGCTTGCCATCAATACTGAATCTGAGGACACAGAGGACCTTCATCTTCCCAAAGAAAAGCGAATATTTGGATTCTTCTGTGCCCTTGGTGCATCAGCCTTGTTTTCTTTACAACACTGCCTCGTACAGCTTTGTTTCGAGAAAGTTCTAAAGACAGAAGTCTATTCTGCTGTACTGAGCATGACTTTTTACCCAATGCTCGTTGCTTTAACTGGTAGCACAGTGGGATTGTTTGTGAGTGGAGATTGGAAAACTCTGGCAGTGGAGATGAAGGAATTTGGAAACGGTAGGGTGTCATATGTGATGACTGTGGTTTGGACTGCTCTGACATGGCAAATGGCTGGCATTGGTATGTTAGGGTTGATTTTAGAGGTGTCTTCATTGTTCTCTGTTGTGATAGGCAACTTGGAATTGACCATAGCTCCTATCCTTGCTGTGATCGTCTTTCATGACAAGATCAATGGAGTGAAGATTATAGCCTTCTTGTTAGCTATATGGGGCTTTCTTTCATATATGTATCAACATTATCTGGATGACAAAAAGGCCAAAGAAAATAAAAGTGGAGCCATTGAGGTTTCGAACAGAGAGGTAGAGATTTGATGACGGAATCTATGGTAATGGACCACAAAGTTATAAGAAATCTATATTGAGGAACAGAGAAGGGTGATGCTGCTGTTGGAAATTTATGTGCAATCTATATTTCTTCGCAACATCACTAAGTGTTTCTTTTTGTTGTTAAACGGAGGCTATGGGCACCAGCGTAAGTCTCTTAAGGTGAGAGGTATCCCTTAAACCAATAGATGTATGATTGTTTTCAAATAGAGAATTATTAAGATTTATTTTTTCCTCCTCTCTTTTTGCATAACACTTACAATTTTTCCTGTTTATGTCAAGTTGGTTGAATATAATTTCTAGAGGAGAGCTAAATCTATTACAATTTATTAAATAAATCTATGTATTTTCTTATAATTTAAATAAATCTATTACTTTTAATCTCTTCTGGTTCCTATCATCTAAAGTTATGGACTAAAAAAATATTAAAAGTGAATGTATATAAAAACTAAAAATTAGGATTTTTTTTATAGGGACTAAAAAGTTTGCTTGACTATATGTATTAAACCTGATTGTTAAAATTTGTTATTAACAAATAATTTATTTATATTGTTATCACTAAGGAACACCTAAATATTTTACATTAGTAACTCAATGACATATTAATTGTGGACTGAAATGGTTTGATTAAAATTAAAATAAAGACTAAATGTGCAATTAAATTTTATGGGAATAAATAATACATTTACGAAATTATAGGACAAAAATGAATTTTAACAATAAATAATAAATAATTTATTAAAAATGTAAAAGATCTTATATAATAAATGCTTCAGCTTGAAAAAGTTAAAAATAAGTTGCAAAGCTAATTTAGAGGATTTTATTTTAAATTTTAAATATTTTTTTCTTGGTTATTTTTTCCTTAGTATTTTCAGTTTTAACGTGGTTTACTAAGTCATATGCAATTACGAATAAGATTTAATGAATATTTGTCATGAAAGCATTCTTATTAATAGACTTCAATTACCAATATTTTTATATAAGAGATATATTCAATATAATTACCTATAATATAAATTAATTATTATTTAATATTTTATTATAATTTTTTTATCCTATATAAAAATACTAGTTCTTTATAAGTTATTATTTAATTTTATACTTATTTATATTTAAATTAATTTGAGTGTTAGAGTTTATTTTTGTAAGTGAATTTTTATTCGTTTGGAAATAAATTTTTTCATCCACAGTTTCACGATAACTCAATGACCGATAGCTCTAGTCTATTTTTACAATTTGATAAATATTTATTATTAATATTATTTTTATAAGGAATGGATATATTTTATCTTTATTTTATTTTTTTACTTTCTCTGCCTTGTTTGAAAAGTTGCTGAATATATTTTGAATATATACCAATTTACTCATTTGTGCCCTTTTAATTCTATTGGATAAATTATAAAATATACACTGTTGAGTACACTTTAAAACTATTAATTTGATTTAACCAATAGGATATACATTTAACTTTTCATATGACCGAAATTAGAAGAGTTAACGGGAATGAAAAATACTATAAAACGGGTGAGAAGGTGCAACGAAATATAATATTTTTATTAGTTAAAAATTACACATTCAAGTTGTCTGTGAAAATCTAATTCAAAGAATTAATTAAATAAAGGACTTGCAAAAAAAAAATATTATGTTGAAGAAACACTTAGCTTTACAAGAAGGCCAAAATTAAAAAGTAGAATAGTTAAAGCAAATAATAATAAAGAATGATATAAAATGGGTGGAGAAGTAATCAATAAAATATTTGTTATTATTTAAAAATAAAATAATTAAGCTATATGAGGAGTTCTAAAATATTTAATAAAAGACATTTTAGATAACTAGTTTTAGAAAAATATGTTGAAGAAATTTATCGAAACTCATCTTTATAATAATTTTTTCATTAAATATATGTTTTAAAAAACAGTTAAAATTATAATTTGAAAGTGCATTCACATAATGCATTATTACGATTGTTAAAATCGATAAATTTTACTCGCGTGTTAAAATTGTAATATAGAATCAATCAGTAATATTGAGAATAGTCTAGTAAATATTTAAAGATGTATAACTTCCAATATCCTCTCAAATTAAGTTTATCCAACCATATAAAAGAAACTTGTTAACCATAATGAAAAATATCATTTTAAGTTATTTATAAATGATTGAATTATATTTATAAATTAATATAAAAATTATAAATTAATGAAGAAGATAATAATTTATAACTAAATAATATTTTAGACGACAACATCCAAAATTTAAGGGTCTGGGAGTCTATAACTTTTGCGTGTAAATGTAAGTGTATATAGTGTTTTGTGATAATGAATTACACATAAATATTAGATGTTTTATTTTGAGAAATTGTACTATATAGACAAATAAAATAAATCATACATTTGTATGCGACTTTTTTAAGAAAAAAATGTATAAATAAGAAGAAGATGTTACCTTATAATTTAACCTTGTAAGTATAATTCTGTTAATTATTTTGCCTGAATCTTATCTGTAAAAAATTAATACTTTATATCTTAATTTATAAAATAAAAAAATTGTTTTTCTTTCTTATTTGTTTAGTATTATTAAAAAAAACTCGTAAATTAATCAAAAAGTTAAAATCAATGAGATTAAATAATTCCAAAAAAATATACAGCGGATAGAATTGAGACTATGATTAAGATTATTAAGAATGCATATAATTTGCAAAACTATATATATTTTGTCATACAAATTCAGATACAGAAAACATGCTATGAGAGGATGATGAGGGAGATTAGCTAGTATCGATCAGGCAATGCTCACAGGGTTTATAGTCAGGAATTCAAAGAAATCTAAATACACATTTAAATTAACTTTTTATTTTCATAATTTTTTTTTACAAGTTTTTAAGGAAAGTTAGAAAAGTAGAATTTATAATCAAGTTGCTTTTTAACCTCGGTTAAATGTTAAAAAAATAGGGATTATGAAATTTATAAAAATATTTAATAGAATAACTTATAGTCATAATTATTGTGAAGCAGACAATAATAAATACTTGTAGGACAATCTCATTAGTCAGTCCAACAATTTTTTGCAGTGTCTTTTGAAAATCCTCTGAAAACAAAGTATAGTTTTTTTTAAAGGAAACAAATATTTTTTATTTTAATTATCCAAATTTTATTGAAAAAGGTACGCATTTATTGTTAAAGTTGAAGATAATATTGCTTAATTTTTTTTATTATATTGTTTTTTTTATTTATTTATTTACACATACCCAAACACAGTAATGTTTAAGAATCAGCACCATATAATGATTGTCATAATATAATTTCCTTTATAAGAATATTATTGTCAATTAACTTCAGAAAAGTATAAGGTCTCATGTGAGATCTTGAAGAAATGTTCTCTTAATTTGCTATAGTATTGGTCTGTATGTTGTATGCTGTTGGGGGACTCACAAATATATCCTACCTAAATCATATTCCTTCTCTTGAATTGCATATATTTCCCAGATGACAAAAAGGCTCACCGAGGACTCACTCAGCAACCTCACCGTCCAAGATCAAGAAAATGCAAGCGCTGCTTTCATGTATCTCTCTACACATTCCTTGCTCTACACTATGAGACTGAGGCCAACAGTAAATGGATTGCAACACTTGTTCAAAATACAGGAATCCCCTACTAATTCCAAATTTTTTACTTCCCATACTAATAACCATGGTTTCTCCCAAACAAAACTAAAACTCTACGTACTAGTTTTACTCTACATGATTACTAAAACTCTACGTGGTAGTTTTACTCTACATGATTTTTGGTGTAATATTATTACAGTCAATAACTTGATTCATAATGTCGATTTTTTGGGAGTTTTGGAATTTAACAAAATTTTGTAACTTT